AAACATTCATTGCTCCACCCTCTTTGCATTTGGCCCCGCCCACCCCTGACCTACAGCCCCTGCGGGTGGCCTAGAAGGGAATGTGGCCCTTGGGCTAAAAAGGCTATAGGGTGTTCTCTAATATCAGAATAAAGCTGACATCCAAGAATATAATGAGGCAAATAGAATTGCTGTTGAATTATGCAGAGTTGTATCCATGAGTACCTTTTATATAATCACATCAGAAGTTTATTTACAGTTAATAGCAGTAACCTCTGGTTCCATTCTAACAACTGAAGTGCAATTCTTCCATTAAACAGAACACTTTGACCTTCTTCTTCCTTCTTTCTGGGCTTGTCACTCTTTCATCCCCTCCTCCCATTCTCATTTTCACTTCAAGGAAGGCAAATAATAATAATCTTGTGGCTCTGCCTTTTGCTGTATTTGTCAAGTCGTGGGAAATATACCTTTGAGAGTGGGAAGGGCTGGTCGTGTCTTCTGGCTAATTCATATAATCGGCAAAAGGGTGAGCTATTGCATACCCTCCAACATTCCTCAGCTGAAAATTGGGACGCAGCTTGCGCTGCTGCGTGAGTCAGCTAACCACCTCGCCTGCCACAGCAGCCCCTACCTGGCAGCGGCTCACTCCCTTTCCTCCACACTCGCTTCCTCCACCCGCTCTTTACCTAAGATCATGACAGCAGTGGTAGCTTTGGCGGCAGCAGAGAGGGTCTGGTAAGAGTGTCTCATGTGTCTCCCACCTCCGCTCTAGTGGTGAACTGCTTCCCCTGTGCACAAGGGCTCTGCTTCAGAAGGGTTCCTCAAGCGCCGGCTCATCATCCTCACCAAGTTTGGCAGCAGCAATGCTGGAGGGATAAAACGGGACATTCCAGGATCAAATCAGAAGCTGAGATGGCTTCTGTAATTTTAGGAATGCCCCGGGAAAATAAGGACACTGGAAGGGTATGCTATCGTGGGATAGGCCTAATCACATCTCAGTTTTCTCCAGGATGATTAGCCGGGCATACTGTTCTGGAAACAGTAGTTGCAATTGTAATGTCGAGAAGTGTGATTGTCTGATATGTCTTCAGACTATATAGATCAACAGACAAAACAAAGTGCCAGGCTCTCTAGCATGCTTTAGAAAAGCTGTGCTGCTTTTTAGCACTTTTGCAAAGAAGACGACGAGTGCATGGCTTTTACTACATTTACAATATGAGTTGTGACTGTAGGGTGGCAGGACTTCCCAAGCAGATTGAGAGCGTTCACTTTCCACTGCTAATAACCAGAAGGTTCAAGTTGTGCATATGTTTCTACCCTTTGGGAGTTATTGACTGGAATCCAGACTTAGTCATGCCTGGAGTAGAGTCATTGAAATCAATGGAATTTAAGTTAGTCAGGGTGAGTCTGCTCTGAGCACGATTAAGTCTGTATCCTACCCACTATGTCATTGCTGCTGTACAAAAATGTTTGCTTTTAATCATTTCAAGCCAGTTCTAAGCTAAAAATAATTGGATATATGAAGCTATTGTGTACCACATCACCTAAATAGTCCATTTAACCCAGTTTATTAATTGCCTGCCCTGATTGATAGTGGCTAATCATGGTCTCAAGCAGTATGAATGTAAGGGTTTGTCCACATTTTTGCTTGTCCTGCCACTTTTCCTTGGGAAAACCCACTCTCTGCTGAATCGAAGTAAATGTCAGTTGGGTTTTCTTCAGATTGATGTTTGCTCTGATTCAGCTGTAAAGAGTGGGTTTTCCTGGGGAAAGTGCCAGGGCAAACTGAAAACTGCTCAGATCCATGCCTAGAAAGCATGGGACAAACAGAAAACCTCTCAGAACTTTTCTAGGCACCGGACAAGTGAATTGTAAATGAGCCCTAAGGTTTTATAAATACACAAAAACATAAGAAAAGCCTTGATGGAGCCTGATCCAGAGTCCATCTAGTCTAGCAGCCTGTTCATAGCCATGGTCAGCCAGATGCTTTTGGGAAAGTACACAAGTAGGGGAGATGGCAATTGTATTCCCCTCATTGTTTGTTCCTAGTATTTGTTACTAAAAACTATACTACTCATGAACATGGAGGCTCTATTTAACTATTTACTGTTGAGCCTTTTTCACACTCTCAGAGATCAGCACAAATCCACTGAGGATTATTGAAGCTTATCATTTCCATCACACATGGACAGACACTAGCCTTGCAAGGGGGTCTATGGAAATTGGAAGTCCACAGTAGGTGCCGAGATACACTTGTGTTAATAATTTCTGGCACATCATCAGTTGTCAGGGACTGTCTGAATGAAGAGAGTGGTGGAAGGCACCAGCTGGGGAACCTCCAAGGGAAATCCCAGAGGAGGAATGCTCAGAGCCCGGGAATTGGTAGTGGGACACTGAGGAGAGGTCAGAGGAGTAGCTGGATACTGAAGGGACAGCAAGGTTTAGTGAGCAGGAGGAACCTGTGAGAGGGAGCAATTCAGACTCTGAGGCTGAAGCAGAGGAGGTGGGTCAAGTGACTGCTGGAGAACCTGTGGAACTCTAGATATTGTTGGACTCCAATTCTCATCACCTTGACAATTAGTCATGCTGGATTGCCAAAGGTTTCCTACCCCTGGCATAGGCTTTCCTCTGATAGCTTGAGGGGAATGGGTGTCTGAGTCCTGGGCCATGACTGTAAGTAAATGTATGCACAATTAAGCCCCGAGAGCTCCAGGATCCTCAATCAGGTTCATTGTCTATATGTCACTGGAACAGCACAGATATTCTGGAGAAAACTGAACTGGACCCAGCTTCTGCTGTGTAATGTAGTCATGTGCAGAGTGGAAGTAATGAGGCTGATTAATAGGAGCCAGGCATATCAGGAAATATGCAATACCAAGTAACAGGGCAGTACAAAGAAAGGACATTTATTAGCATAATTTTCCAGTGACACATGAGAACAGATTCTGCAGTTATGAGTTTATAGAGATGTTGTGCAGGAGTCTTTGATTCAGAATGACAGGCAAAAAATATGGCAGTAATAGCCAGCAAAACAGAAGACGTCTCTTGCATATTCAGACTATAGAAGCCTGACACGCCTACCTACTTGTCAGATTTAAACAGTGTGACTGAAGCAGAAAAAAATACACAACTCATTAAGACTGTATTGAAATAAGGAAGACCTTGAACTGAGTGGGGGCATATGGAGTGATTGCTTCTTCAGGGATGCTAGGCTTTTCAATTAGAACAGGTCATCTTCAACCTTAACATTTTCTAAATAGAGCTAATGTGGTCTCAGAGCTTGGATAGAAGTGGGATCACATTTTGGCCCCTTACTCAGCCCCTTTTGCTGAGGGGCTGGTAAATAAATAAAGCCAATAAACTGGCCCAATAAACTGGATTTATGTGCTTCTCTCAAACATACCCTTGCTTTCCTGTATAAGCGGTGTATAATAAGTCTAACTAATTCACATAACAACTTTAAATCTGCCCCCCCCCCAAAAGCTGAGTGAATATATGTTGGCTTGGCTTACCAACCAGTCACTATCTGTGTCACCACTCACTTCCTTTGCCATCTCCTGAGGCCTCTGACATGCGCAAAAGGCTTGGGAGAAATGCAAGGTCTTCTCTCGTGTGTTGGAGTATGGAGAAGGCAATAAAATATTGTAAGTCTCTCTTGTTGGTTTAAATACTGTTGAATACAACAGTATTTTAAAAAAGCAAATTTTGTTGTGGCACAAACGTTTGTGAACTAAAGATTTTGGATTCTAGTCCATAATAAAGTTGTTTGTCCTCAATACTTTGTTGTTCTATAGGATAGTTTTATACACAGTTCACCTTTGTCCCTCAAAGTGTTGCAGCAGCTATATAGAAGCAAGCTTAGCCAGTGCCCTGCCCAAGCTGTGAATGTTTCCTAAAACACTTTTCTACAACTCTTTGCAAAGCACAGGAATTCTGTGTCCCACGCCCTGGGATTCCGTCTCAGCAGATTAAACTCTGTCAAAAAGATTCCCTGAAGGCAGGATTTTTGAAAAACACAATGATGCATGATGCTGAATTTCTGGAGTGGCTGGACATAAGTAGGACATTCAGCTACCGAGCATGTCACTGCCTCCAGGTAACTGGAGTAACTGCTTCCAGAGTCCTGATTAATTCAGCACAGTCTCCAAAACCTTATCCTCTGCTAACTGTGTGGCAACTACTATTCAGAGCATCAGCAGCTTTCCTTTATTCCCAGAGGTCTCCCCACAAGTACAACTGAGTTTGTCACAGGCATCAATATTGGCATTCTCATCAGAGAAAGGCCAATTATTTAATGGGGTAGGGAAAATGAATTGGTCCTCCATTTATCAATAACAAGATTGGGATACATTAGGACCTATTATTAGGCAAAAGGGGCTGAGTGAGGGGACTTCCTGGATTTGCTTTCAGATGTGTATTTAGGTGTATCTTCTTTGGGGAATGGTGAACATTAGGGCCAGTTTATTGGCTTTATTTATTTACTAACCACTTTGTGCCCTATCTTTTTAACCAAAAGTTTTATGATGACTTGGTCAGCTTCCATGCTGTTTTTCTTCACATAAGTTTTTAAGATGTTGTGTTGTAGGAAAGTGACTAGAAGATGAGGAAATTTGTAATTTGGACATCTAGACAAATGGTCCTGGTGTACACGTTCTACTTGGTGAGCGATTCATACAGGAGAAATGATGTGAGACTAGACAGGGGCCATGGCTTGGTGACAGAGCATGTGCTCTTCATGCAGAAGCACCCCTGGTTGACACATGTGCACCTCTGGTTTAAAACGGGTCCCAGGATTCAGTGCTGGGAAATATATCTGCTTAAGAAGCTGAAAGGTCACCGAGTAGATAGGCGTAGATAGAATTGGGATAGGTGGGCCAATGGCTGTGATTCATTACAATGTAGCTTCATGTGTTTGAACAGACCTTCAAAATGTCCTTTAAAAAGGAATAATGAAAAGCTGCAGTAGCCTTGATTTTAAAAATTGCACTGAACACCCCCCCTTCCTTCTCTTTTAACTCCAGGTGTCCCTTGCTTGCCAGAAAGTCTGAATCTTCACAAAGACCAGCAAAGGTCAAATAAGCCAGGGGAAGTCCAGATGTTTAGCCAATCAGAGTTACGGACCATCGAGCAATCTTTGCTTGCAACGCGTGTGGGAAGTATCGCAGAACTCAGTAAGTACAAAATCATTCCTAACCTTTCCCTCCATTACTTTTTATGAGCAATTATGTTCCAGTTTACATAGAAAAATACATCAGGGTTGTGGAGGGAACCTGCTGTGGCAGGAAGAAGCAGAGTGACTTTTATACCCTGCCGGTGAAGCAGCTTGTAACTCAAGTTTGAATAATGGTTAAACACTTTGCAACGTAAGACCCAGGGAAGAAGCCAGCCATTTCAAGCTTGTTCGCAGATTTTCTAGAATGTTGCGTTTTTGTATTTCCAGAGATGGAGAATCAGCTATTGTTTGTTTCTCCTTCACAAAAGACTTTGGTGCAGGCCTGAGACCTGCACAGCACCTGTCAAAGCCAGTGTTCGAAACTCCCATTGTTCTAGGCGCATTTTGCAACAGGGAATTTCATTAGTGTGAGCAGCTTCTGAGCTCTGGGCGCAGTACTGCACCTAAGATTTCAGATTAAAATTGCAGAGTGGAAGGAAAGGAGGACCTTTTTCTGCCTCCCCACTTCCAGCTACTCTCTGAAAACTGGAGAAGAGACCCTCTTAAGAATATTAGGAGGGTGGGCTGGGAAAGGACTGGATCATGTGAAAAATGAACATAATATTTTAGCTGCAGTTCATTCATTTTCAGCTTTGTATTCTTGTTATTAAAAAAGCGGGCCTAGACATTCCATTGTTGCACCTATAACCTAGGTTTAAGGTGCAATTTAGCTCCTAGCTTTCACATCTCAGTTTCTGACACTGGTCAAAGCCTTTGCATGTCTGCTGCCTCCTCTCATGTTCTAATACTCTTATGAGGTGCCAGTGGCGTGTGGTCATTGGACCAAGGGGACTAAGATTGTTCCCTAAATGTTCCCCAGGTGCCTCATTCCCATAGCCTGGGAAGCTTCTGCCCAACTTAGGGAGGGAGGTGCAAGGCTCTGATGGGTCCAAGATCCATCCTGCCATCTTCCCAAATCCCATCCAGCTTTTGGAAGGAGGCAAGAGGGCTCTAACATCTTGTCAGAGCTCGGGCACCTCCTTCGCAAAGCCCAGGAAGCTTCTGCCCAGCTTAGGGAGGGAGGCACGATGCTCAGGTGCAAGACATCAGGAGGTCACAATGTCACAAGCATGAAATCAACCCCCCACGCCCCTCACAAGTTAGCACCTCTGGCCCCAACCGTTCCCCTATGAAAAAATTCACTGCATGCCACTGTGAGGTGCAGGCTTATGGCTTCACAGCCAACCAATACCACGCCCCCCATTTTTAAAATTTTATTTACCACACGGCCTGATTAAGAGTTCGGGAGAATTCAGAAACTTGCTTGCTATCTGTGACATTTTGCTCACTGAACATTAGCAAACATACTTTTTGAATGTTATGGATGGAAATGCACATGCATGAGGAATCTGCGTGATTTGGCTGTGGGCTTGAAAAGGGTTACACGTCTAAACTCCCCTCTCTCAATTCTGCTTTCACTTTATAAAAAATGGCATTGCAACTCACATACAGAAATTTGCACCTAACTTGCAGTTAGCCCCTTAATCCCTGCTCTGCACTTATTCATTCGTAGAGCACTGTAAATCAAGAATGTGTTTTCCTGCTTTTGCACTTTAGTTGTGGCCCTTGTTGCTCCATTGCTTGCAGTTCTCCATGGGTGGGGAACCTTTTTCAGCTCAAGGGCCACTGTCTGTCCTGAGGAACATTCTGAGGGCCACATACCAGTGGTGGGCTGGGCCAGAGAGAAAAGGTGGGTGGAGCAATGTATGTGACTTTTAACCTTTATGTGTGGCTGGAATGCAGCCTACTCTTGGCTGGCCCAATACATTTTGGCCCTTGAGGCAAACCACAAAATGGCATCCCCCTCTCCACCGGGGAAGAAGGGATGAGTGAATATCTAAATCAGAAACAAGGGGTTGGGGACTAAAGATTTACATTGGGATCTGTTGCCCCTTTGGATCCTGCTGCCTGAGGCTGTCTCCTCACCTTGCCTCATGCGTGGACTAGCCCTGAGCCTACTCTAAAAGTCAGAGGTTTCGACACACACAAATCTTTTGATCCTCCATCCAGACAAAGATGAGGTTAAGAACACATTTCAGCCAAGCAAAAGTACTCAAGGAGGAGTGGAGCAGGGCCACAGAATGGTGTGGCCTGTGGAGGGGGCATGGCCTGGGTGGGGGTCCCCAGGGGCCCTGCATTGATGTCTTGGCTTCACTAAAAGGGAGTGAGCACCTAAAACCTATTGTGTAGCTGTCCAAGCGAGTGCCCAAGACAGGTCCTAGACAGGAACAGTTGGTAGAGTCAGCTAAGTACTCCCCTAGTGGCATTTGGAAACTCTGCTGCTTCATTACTCTTCAGAGGCAGGCCATCCTAACAACTCCATCACTTTTCTGTGGGGATGGAGGGAGCAGCAAATCACATAGTGATCTGTCCATGACAAACATAGACTCCCTTCCCCCCGCTGGTCACTCCTGTCTTACCCAATACAGAAACCCAGACTCAGCCATGTGCTCTGACATATTTGCAAGAGTATGCATATGAAGGCAGTGAGAAGCAAGGCAGGGAAGCAGCTTAGAAAATTGCTGTGATGGAAATTTACGGGAGATTTGACATTATTTTGTGTTTGGCAGCTTATTAAAAAAAATACGAGAAATAAAAAACTAACGGTGAACCAAAAGTCCTCATATAAAACCTAACACAGACAGTGAAATAGGGGATGGAGAACCCTCAAAAGCTGTTACAAATTCTGGGGATGGAGCAGTGAAATCTAAGAAGCAGGACTTACTTCCACTACTAGGGATTTATCTTTGTGGCCACCATTTCTTCCCCCAGTGGCCCTTGTAAACAACACTATGTGATATACAGTACTGTTGCTCTTGAGGGTTTTGGGGACAGGAAAGTGACACCTACCAGTCAGAGGTTGTCTGCAGGAGGTCCAGGTGGTGACAGTAAGCCCCCCCCCACTTAGTCCCCACTGGTATAGTGGTAAATTTTGACAGCTCCCAGAGCCACACACACAAAAGAATGAGCTGGTGAGGGGTGGTACAGTGGTCAGCATATTGGACTTTGATTGGAAGTACCTCAGTTCACATTTTCTCAGCAATGAAGTTCAGTGGGTGGTCTTGAGTAAGTCCCCCTAACACAGACCTGTCGTCCATTCCCTACCCTACCCAAAGCTTAGACTATTAGCAGTTACCACTCTGGCAGAAGACATTATCAGTTGCTCTTGTTGTGCTCTCCTGTGTTCCTTCTCCACTACCCCACAGTTACCCTCTCGCCCCTGAAAGCATCAGTCAGAGTATACTTCCCCTCAAATTCACGGCATGTTCACTCAGCCCTAAAAAGAATGCACCAAGTGAAAAAATAAAACACCTTTGTTTGCACCTCTATAAATGGAGAAGCTAAATGGAGTATTTGTCTAGTCTTTCACCCAACCCTGCTGCTCCTAATTGTCATTGAAGGACTTCTAAAGACTCCCTTCATCACTGAGCCACCTATTCACTGATGTGCTGATTCTACATTTCTTAAAATAGGCAAATGAATCGGCATGTTCTGTCAGAAGCTTCTGCTGCTGCTGCTGTCTCCTGACATGCCGATAATAGCACCACTATTTATTCAGAATGTGTTTACAGGCTCTTGCATTCTTGGAGAGCTTTTGTTCCTTCAGGCATGGTTAATCAACTGAACTAGAGACCCTGGCACAGGGAGGGGGCAACTGGAATCCATGGACCTCTTTCTCTTCTGACATGTCCTCCAGCTGGGGCTGCAACTTCTTGAACTGGCTGTGCATCCATGACTTTAACACAGCTGGGCACATGGAAATTTAGCAGTGAAAACTCTCCCTGGCATGGCTATGGGTTGATGGTGGTTGTGGGAAATTAACATGGCAGCTCCCAGCCACCCACTGGAATGCTTCCCACCACTGCTGCTATGTAATTCCACCAGGGTTTATCAGCAGAGGATGGAGCCCACTGGAGGGCATTTTCCCCAAGACTCCGCTCCAGCCTGGAGCAGGCTTTAATGGACAGCATAAGGAAACTGCTAGGGCCACTTTTCCAAACACCCCACCAAAGTCATTCTCTTCTCCTCCTAAATTTGTCAAGCTGCCAGCTTTCACGCTTCCTCAACCAGATTTCACCCAAGCATCTGATAAGTAGAATTTTCCCCACCACCCAACTGTCCACAGCAGCTGATCCCTTCTCTACTCTGTCAGAGCCTAGTTTTGCTTCTGTATTGTAGTAGGGAATGGGGATTCCTCACCGCAGACACAGATTACATCAAGTAATTTAAACAAGACGTTAAACCTGGGTTTGGAAACAAAGGTGCTTGCCTGAGGATGATTGGCAGTTTCTAGCATCCTCCTTGACATGCAGTTTTCATGTCCATTTACGGCTGTTTCCAAAGTAACGTAGTTTCTTGGAATTAGAATATCACTTCTCAAGAAATACACACAATAAAACATCATGTTCGGATGCAAGATCTGTCAAAGAATGCATTTTCTTCCATGGAGGAAAACATTGAAAGCTGAACGGCATGTTCAGAAATACAGCATGGCAGATCCCCCCTGGGAACATACCACTTCAAACTGAAGGTGGAAGCCTGTATTCCTGAATGTTTCTTTGCAGTAAACAAACTCCCAGCTTGTTGAAGCTAAGGACCTTGGTAGTACAGGATTCTGGCAAAGACAAAATTTTAGGTTCGGGCAAAGCAGGACAAGGTCTAGATTCTGGTAGATGACCAAGAGATTGAGGACCAACATAACAGTAGTTTATCATTTTTTGAACTGGGTGAAATGTATAAAAACATGAATTCCAGTCTATCCCAAAGCTACTTAAAGACAGCCTCAAAGTAGAATCATATCACCCAATCTCACTGATAAACCAAGACTACAAAATATTAACATCAATCTTGGCCAACTGCCTAAAATGCTTCCTACACAAACTAATTGCCCCAGACCAGACTGGCTTTGTCCCCGATTGCAATATAACAAGACCTCGTTAGGAAACTACTGAATCTGAA